CAGTCTCCAGGACTGTGAGGGAACTCTGCTGTTTAAGCCCCCCAGTCTATGATATTTCATTATGGTAGCCTGAGCAGACTAAAACAATTATGGAACTTCTTAGCAGGAAGGGACAGTGAATAATGTTTTTTCAAAACCTCGCATTTTGCTCATTTATTTATTCATTTATAAATATTATTTTTTTGTGGCAAGCCTTGAGAATATAATGATGCATGAAATAGAAATAGTCTCTGATCTTATAGAAATTCACTTATTGGGGGAGACAAATATTAAAGAGATAACTTCAAGGAATTTAAAATTTCCGTTGTGAATAGGACCATGAAGAAGCATCATGTGCTTTGACAACGTCTAACAGCGGGCCCTTATTTTGTCTGGGAGGTCAGCAAAGGTTTCTCTGAGAAAGTGTTACTTAAGCTGAGTCTTGAAGGACAGGAAGAGCTTAGCCTGATGAGAACGTGGGGGTGGGGGAAACCATTCTAGAAAGAGGGAACGGGACATGGACCTGAAATAGTAGCTGAGCTGGGGGCTGGGAGAAAACAGATCCTGTGGCCGCAAGCCCTGTGTTCTTTCCGCTCCCCCAGGCTGGGCTTCTTCCAGCTCTGTGTCCCTTATGTGCTCATTCTGGAGAGGGGCGTTTATACACATGATGAAAGTGGGCACCCTAGGTGGGGAAGCAGGGGGGCCCCTTGGCGGCATGCAGGGCTCTCGTGGAAGAGAACTGAGGAAGCGAGGGAAGGAGGGATGAGGACGTTCCCTGTGGGCTTGGGTCAGGATGGAAAGGAAGGGCCAGGCGAGATGTTGAGGTCAGTCATCAATTCAGCAGTGTGACCATTTCTTCCAAGCTTGTTCTAGAAAGGGTTAATGGCAACTTAGATACATATCCTTGTTCTTTTGCTTTTTTGATATGTACGCTAGGATCACAAAACCTCCTGTTTTTCTAGTCCCCTTTAAGTCTAGCTTTGTTTGCTGTATTCCTTCCTTCCTCTCTGCGTCCTGTGGAGTACCTTATATATGCCCCACGTGGGCGCCGGGGGCCAGGATTACAAAGACAGTAAGAGATGATCCCCCGAATAGGGACCCTGGGACCGGAGGGTGAGGAAGAGTGGTGTGTGTGGGATGAGCAACACTACCAGGGTGTCAGCCAGGAGAGCCTTTCCAAAGATTTGGGCCACGTGGGTGGATGACCAAAGCAAAGAGTTGGACCTTACTAGGCTCATCAAGTCCTTGTTATCTTCTGTCAGCAGGTTGGGAACTCTGTGAAGATACAGGGCTGGCTGGCTGGCTGGCCAGCTGGATATTCATACTACACTTCTAGTGAAAGGGCCCCTGAGAACCAGAAAGGTGAGAAGCTGGTGTCATCAAGGGTCCTGGCATCTCCCACCCATTACTGTTGACAGTTTCAGTTTCTCAAGGTTCTCTGCAAGGTTAGCTGGTGCAGAGACTCTTTTCCATGGTGAATCTTCACTTTTGAAAGAAGATCTGTCGGGTTTCTGAATTAGATGTTGAGTATTTCTGGTGCCTTGAGGTGGCTTGAGGTCTCATTGGTGACTCTCATCCCTACATAGGATGGTGTCTGGCTAGGAGGAATTGGTGGTTTTTTTTAAAAGGAGATCTGACTGGTCCTGCACACCCAGGATCTGCTGTTAGTGAGAACAGTCCCCGCTGCTGGCTTGGTGAGTGCACAGGCGAGTGGTCCTGCCCAGCAAATGCAGGGAGACTGGGATGCAGGAATTACTTCATCTCTCTGTTTCACCAGGGCCTGTGAGCTTTGACGGAGCAGGCCTGCCCCCGAGATACCTTCTTTTGTGTCCAGTTCTGGAGGCTTCCTGCTTGCCTCTTCCTCAGCCTGCCCTTCCTCTGCGCTCTCCATCTGGGCCACAGACCCCGTATCTTCTCTATGCAATATCTCACCGGGCCTCTTCCGCTGGGTGTGCATTCCCACCTTGCCCAATTAGGAACCTGACCCTCCTGGTGACTTCCTTTGCAAATTACTAACTCAACATTCTTTTCTCAAATGACCAATTCTTTTTTAAATAATTACCTCTCCTGCCCATGATGGTTGTTTTGCAAAATTTTTTAAAATGTTACATTTGCTTACTGTGGAGGTATATTTGTTTTACAGGAGTCCTTTTGAATGGCAGGATTGGGGATAAGAACTGGTTTTTAGGCAGACTGGTCTAGAATGCTCTTTAGGCTGTGATGGTTCCGTTGGCATCAGGGTAAAGTCTCTGTAGTAAAGAATCACAATAAAACAAGATTATATTTCCTACAATCAATTCCATCAAGTAATGCACTAAGGATTTTTGGAAAGAGAAACCCAATTCTTTAAAAGGAGAGAGAGAGGAGGACAAGCGAAAGGGATATAAAAGAACCCTAAACAATTCAGTTACACTAATGGCCCTTGTATTATTGTGGCAATATTACTTACAAATAAAAGCCGAAGAGGAAAAACAAGCTGTGTTTGCTAGATGTACTCTCTGTTCCCTGCCTTGTTTTTCTGCTCTGAAGTATAGCACTGTGTTGACGTAGGGATGTAACTGCTATGAATATTGATGGCAGCAAAAGCCTTTTTTCTCTGTTTGGCCTAGTAAATAAAGCAGAAGTGATAAAAAAGGGAAAAGGAATTGTAAAATCAGCATGCTATTTTCAGCATATCTTGTTCCCCTAGAACTCCATGTCTTAGAAGCATATTGACAACCTACATTTGGTGGTCAGGGTCTAATTTGAGTATAGTGGGTTGGTATTTTCAGGGATTTTTGCTTCTGGTTCAAGTAACAGAGTTGCTCTCTCCTTTTAGCGTTACCACCTCATTGAAGCCTTCCAGGATCCCTCCTCCCTAGCCAGTGGCAAAGTCCCAGCTCTCAGGGAATATGAAGAGTAAATGAGGGAGTCACCGGAGGTCTGCAGGCTCATGCATGCCCGGAGGACACGGCTGTGGGGAAGGAGTAGGGGTCATGTTGGAGGAAGGTCTTGGCAGCCCCGTGAAGGGGGTGTGGTACCTGGGAGGAGCCAGGCTGAGGACAGGGCCAGTTGGGAGGTCAGGGGGAACGTGGAGGTTGGAGATGAGTGAGACTCTATACGGTTGAAAGTACACTAACTCTGGCTAACTCACACCACAAAAGAATTTATTAGACCTCTTGGATGGTGTTCAAAGTTCAAAGGGAGCTCTGGAGGACAGGTTAGGGATGGCAGGGACCTGGGACGGAAGAACTGACGACCCGGCTTTTCAGCAAGACCAGCGGGAAGTCGGGAATGGGGGTGAAGGCTGGGGTCCAGCGGTGGTTGGATGCTTTCCCTGGTGGTAGAGAGGGAGGATGTGAGGGACGCCTGGGTGGCTCAGTTGGTTAAGTGTCAGCCATCGGCTCAGGTCATGATCCCTGGGTCCTGAGATCGAGACCTGAGTTGGGCTCCCTGCTCAGCGGGGAGTTAGTTTCTCCCTCTGCCTGCTGCTCCCCCTGCTTGTACTCCCTCTCTCTCTCTCTCTCTCTCAAATAAATAAATAAAATCTTTAAAAAAAAAAAAAAAAGGAGGGAGGATGTGGGGGGAGACACGGGGAAGGCCAGGCGACAGGGGTAGCACTCTGGTAGGAGGGTGCTGAGGCCATCTCGTCGTGGTCACGTAGCAAAGCAGAGTCCTGGGGGGGGGGAGGAGTGGACCAGTCCTTCGGCCTTCTCAGAGGGCTCAGGATGCAAAAGCACCCTCTCCACTGCCTGCCTTGGGGCATTCGCAGTGTTCATGTTTGGAACAGACTAAACCTTCCCTTCCCTTCCCTCCCAGACTAAACCTTTCGAGGGTAGGGATGGCAGTGGAGCTGTTTTTCTAATCCTGGCTCCTGGCGTGGGGTCCGTCATATAGAAGAGGTGCTCACTCAGTGTTTCCTGAGCCAAATTCATTTGACCGCTTGCACCAGGCGTCTTCGTAAGTGAATTCTGTGACTTCCATTTTCCTAAGGTATCGGTAACTTTCCCTGGGTCCCACGGGGTAGAATTAATATTTGTGGAGGGCTTTATGACCCATGTGGAAGAGTTTTAATTGCTGATGGTTTTTTATTGAGTTATTAAGTAGCCTCTTGCCAGGGAGTGCCTCTTATAAAATTAATTGCACACATCCCAGTGGGTCAGTATTTCTATTAAAGCCGAAGCTGCATAAAGAAAACCTTTACAAAAGAGGAAGGGAGTCAACATTTTTAGACCTGCTGAGGGATGTGTTCTCTGGATGCACGAAGTTGCCTGCGTTGGAACGGGAAGGGTTCTAAGAGTCAGCTAGCTTGTGGGCTGAGTCTCCGAGGTCTGGGCAGCCAGATGGGAACGGCTGCTGGGGCCGGTAGGAGGGAAGGATGCAGAGGCTGAGCCCCCACTCCCTGGGAGGGTGTGCAGCGGTCACTCAGCAGTGTCAGCTGGGAGACAGGGGGGGTTGCCATCTCGAATTTGCTCCCCTTCTGTGCCGGTGAGGAGACTGAGGTCCAGAGGAGAGGAGGGACTTGCCCAGGTCACCTTGCTGCTCTGTGACAAAGAGGATCATGACTTAGAAATCGGGCATAAACCCAGGAGGAGGAGAGAGGGTCAAAGCAGCTGCATCTTCCTTTCTTCCAAAGGACATTCTGCTCCAAGCCGCCGCCGTTGGAATCTTGTTGCCCCCTTGTGCGTTTCTGGGCCTGATTTGGCAATCTCAGGAAGAAAACATGCTGCCTTTTGCAAATGTGTGCAAACAACAAACATGCCCCTTATGTCCCAGGCAGACTCTGTGCACACGCATCAGGGCAGGTGGCAAAATGCAGTCATGCAGCCTGGAATGGAAAGTGTTTTACACTTAGCTGCTTATGAGAAATTCAGTGTTAGAATTAAAACGTTTTCCTTCCTGGCACAGGTGCTGAGTTAATGGTGCCATTTCTCATAATAAAACTTTGCTTGGAGAAGAATGCTTATATCTCAGAGCTATTGATTCTAATTCCTGTTTCTTTTTCTTCTTCTCCCCTCCCCCCTTTTTGTTTCTCTTCACAGGAAAAAGTAGAATATGCCTTCCTGATTATTTTTACAGTCGAGACATTTTTGAAGATTATAGCGTATGGATTATTGCTACATCCTAATGCTTATGTTAGGAATGGATGGAATTTACTGGATTTTGTTATAGTAATAGTAGGGTAAGTCCTTTTTGTTTTGGGGAAATGTTTGGAAGATGGGAGGCAGGGAGTAATGAAGAACCACAGTTTTTTTGAGGGAATATGGTCGCTCCTCTCTGCCAGCGCTTGTGGCCAGAACCAGCCAGTCGGGTTTTGAAGATGGGCGCTGCTGCTATCAGTCTCTGGGTTCAAATCCCCTCTTTGTTCTTACTTCCCTTCCAGTAACGCGTATAGAAGGAGGTTGAAGCTCCCGATGTAAGAGGGGTCATTTTACAGAGGACTTGGGTCTTCACAAATAGGCCAGCCCTGCTGGCGGTTAGAGTCAAATGAGCAGAATTCTTGTACCTAGCACCCTGGTAAGATAAAAACAAAAAACCCGCAAACCAGTAAAACAGTAATAAATCCTTCAGAGCAGTGAGGTACTCTGCTATTTAACAACCTGAGCAAAGTTATTAATTTTTTCTGCTGCTTGGGGGGAAAATTTTGGCATGCTACTGTCCCATTTTAAATAACAAAACAAGTGTCTGAATAATGTCAGGTATCTGGCATGAAATGAAATAAGCCAGAAAATGCAGAGAAGCAGGCATTCTCCAGAAATCCTGTCACAGGAAGGAGACACCAACAGTTTAGTTAAAGAAGAGTGTTAAAAAGTAGTGGCCTGCGTTGTGTGATTCTGGTCCTGCCACACCTGGAAATTTTGCCAGCGAGAGAAAAAAACGAATCCACATTAGAGGAGTGCTGGGCCTTTGGACCAAATACCCACATAGGGAAAGAAGATCTATCCCTTTGCTGAGTCTTTGTTACCCAGCTGTAAAATGGGTTGCTTCTAAAACTATATGTGGTCCTACCGAGAGAGATTGTTAATCTCTCTGTGTTCATCTCCATAACTTTGGTCAACTGCCTTTTGAAGTTGAGCAACGTAATTTTTCTTATAGGCTACTTTTTTTAAAATCGTGAATCCTTTGGCTTTTCATGGGAGACTAATATAGCTGGATACTAGGAGAGTGGGATAAATTTTGAACCTGCCCTTTCAAACCTTAGGAAATTCAAATGGGATCCAAAATGGCCCAGTGGGATAATTAGACTTAAGGGGAAAAAGTCGGCTTTTGCAAAAACCACCATAGGACATGGCATCTAAGGTATTACTGCAAAGGTAGTACAGCTAAAATGAACAGGTAGTAGGTATGTACCATACCTTCCTGTATTTGCTGAAATCTAATAAGGAATGGCAAGCAGGAGACTTGCAGGTCTCTTGGTTCTGGAATAATTTCACTGTGCCTCTCTTGAGCCTGGACTTTGTGTTCAGCTACAGGATGGAGATGCTTAGCTCCATTTCTTTTGTCCTTACCCTACAATCACCTCAGCCTTCTACCTCGAGACATTTTTCAGACTATAGTAGAGCCCAAAGGAACCAAACAGAGGGTGGTGGTCTAATTGCATTGAGAAGACCAAGACAAGAGTCCAGGAAGGCCGATGGGGCTGAAATTTGACAGGCATGAGATGGGAGGGGGAGAGGGCTTTTCAGAGAAAGAGCTCCATAAATATGCCTTGTGGTCCTCTTGAGCTTTGCCTGAAGAATAATCTACCCTTACAGGGGGTGAGAATCCAGGAGGCCAGTCAAATAATACTATTAGGGAAAAAAAAGAAAAGCTGGAGACTGTTAGCTGAATAATAACTACAACTCACATAGGTTTGAGAGATGTTCGAGTTATGACCAACCAGAATGGAGGCCTCAATAAACACCCTGGACTGTCACTAGACACCCCAGAAGGGCCATTAGTAGTAGGGCTAAACTAACTCTACGGTAAGCGTTGGCAAACTATGGCCAATGGGCCAAATTCAGCCTGCCAAAAATTTTTGTAAAGTTTTATTGTAACATAGTCACATGCATTTGTTTACATAGTTGATTTGAGTAGTTTAGGTCCACAAAGCCTAAACTATTTACTATCTGGCCCCTTATGAAACAGTTTTGCCAACCCCTGCTAGAGAGTAAAGATCACCTGAATCCCTTGCTAATAATGTTTGAAAAGGAGCAAACTGACATGCAAAACAAACTGTCTCACAAAAGAAAACTCAATACTCTTTAAAGGAAGACAACAAAATCCAGACACTTAACAAGTGTCCAGCATCCCATCAAATCTTATGGCCATTAATTAAGACATATGACCCATAACCAGAAGGAAATTCCATCTATAGAGATAGACCTAGAAATGACAGAGATGACGGAATTAGTAGATAATTGCTTTACAAGACTTTAAAAATAGCTATTATGAATATGTTTGTGGACATAAAGGAACACATGACCACAATGAGAAAAGATGGGACAATATTAAGAAAGAACCACATGGGACTTTGAGAGTTGAAAAATTTTCCTGGATTGGCTTAATAGCAAATTAGACACAACAGAAGAAAAAAAAAAAGTAAAGGAACTTGAAGACCTAGCAATAACACAAAGAATAATGATCGAGAAAAATAGGACACCACCTCAGTGACCTGCAGGGTAATATCAAGTGGTCTAACATACATATATTTGGAGTCCCAGAAGAGAGGAGATAGAGGGGAGCCAGAAAAAAATATTTGAAGAAATGACTCCAGATTTTCTAAATGTGATGATAAATACAAACTCACAAATTTAAGAAGCTCAACAAAGCTCAAGCAAAGTAAACATAGAGAAAGCTACATTGAAGTACACCATAATTCATAATGAAATTGCTCAAATCCAAGGATAAAGAGAAAATCTGAAAAAGTAATCAGAGAAAAAGACATCCCTGGACTTTTTGTCAGCACTATAGAAGCCAGAATACAGCAGAGAGATATCTTTAAAGGGCTGAGGAAAATGTCAACCTAGAATTCTTATTCAGTGAAGATAGCTTTCACAATTGAAGTAAAAACAGACTTTTTCAGACAAACTAACGCTGAGAATTCACCCCCAGTAAACCTGTACCTCAATGAATGTTAAAGGAATTCCAGAAAGGGTACATGCATGGGTAAATATAAAAACATTTTTTTTTCTCATTTTAAAATCTTTTTTAAAGTAATTGATTATTTAAAGCACAAGTAGTAACAATGTATTGCAGAGTTTGTAGCTTCTATGAAAGTAAAATATGTGACGACAATAGCACAAAGGACAGGAAGAAGAAAATAGCTATATATTATTGAAAAGAGCTTGTACAGTTGGTGGTAAATATGACAAAATATTACTTGAAAGTATACTGTAATAAGTTAGAGATGTGTGTTATAAACCCAAGAGCACAGGCCAGCAAACTTCAGCCCATAGGCCAGATATGGTTTATTGCCTTTTTTTATTTTTCACATTGGCAAAGTATTTTCCTGTCTGCTTTGGAAGATTGTTTTATTGGAAGACAGTCACACTCACTCATGTTTGTGGCTATTTGGTGTTAGGATGGCAAAACCGAATAGTTGTGACAGTGACCCTATGGCCTGCAAGTCCTAAAATAGTTACTCTCTGACACTCCACAGAAGATTTTTGCTGACATTTGCCCTAGAGGAGCCACTAGAAAAAAAAAAAGTATCGTTAATAAGCCTGTATTGGAGATTAAGTAGAATTTTTATTTTTATTTTTATTTTTTTATTTTATTTTTTTTAAGATTTTATTTATTTGACAGAGACACAGTGAGAGAGGGAACACAAGCAGGGACAGAGGGAGAGGGAGAAGCAGGCCCCCCGCTGAGCAGGGAGCCCGATGCGGGGCTCGATCCCAGGACCCTGGGACCATGACCTGAGCCGAAGGCAGATGCTTAATGACTGAGCCACCCAGGAGCCCCAGTAGAAATTTTAAAAGCTCAATTAATTCAAAAAAGGGATGAAGAAAAAAGGAACAATGGACAGGGCAAACAGAAAACAAATAGCAAGATAGTAGATTTAAACCCAGCTAAATCTTTATTAGAATCCAGAGTTTATCAGATTTTATACATTAAAAAAAACCCAGACCCAACTCTAGAGTTAATCTACAAGAAACCAAACTTATAAAGACACAAAGAATTTGTAAGTAAAAAGCCAGAAAAAATATATACCATGTGAAAACTAATCTAAAGAAAGGTAGAGTGGCAATATTAGTCCAAAAAAGTAGACTTCAGAACAAGGAATATTATCAAGGATAGAGACATTTCATAGTGATGAAAGAATTCTTTCATGAAGATACACACATATATGCCTAATAGCAGAGCTTCAAAATATACCAAGCAAACCCAGAAAGAACTGAAAGGAGTTTTATTCCATTATTGTAGCTGTACATTTTAATACTTCTCCCTTGAGTATTGATAGAACATCTAGACAGAAAATCACTAAGTATATAGGGATATTTGAACAATACCACCTAGCTTGACTTAACTGGCATTTTTAGAACGCTCAAGACCAGAAAGCACATTCTTTTCACATGCACACGGAACATTGACCAAGAAATATTCTGGGCCATAAAATAAGTTTCAGTGAATTTAAGAGTATTAACATCATACAAAATTATGTATTCTGAATGAATTTAGCAATGTTTCTGGAGAGAAGATCAGTATTAAAACATGTGAATTTCTATATCCTAGTCATGAACAATTGGAAAATGAAATTTTAAAGACATTATTCACTATAGCATCAAAAAGCATGAAATATTTAGGGATAAACAGCACACTACAAATGACTAAACTTTGCTGAGAGCAATTAAAGAATACCTAAATAAATGGAATGATGTACCATGTTCATGGATTGGACGGCTCAGTTATTGTTAGGCTATTAGTTCTTCTCAAACTGAGCTATAGATTGAATCCTAATCTAAATCCCAGCAGGATTGTTGTAGAGATTGACAATTTATTCTAAAACTTATATGGAAGTTAAAGAGGCTCTAGATTAGCCAAAGAAATATTTAAGAACAAAGCTGGAACCTGATCTTAGGGCTTAATATAAAGCTACGGTAGTCAAGACTACTGTATGATGTTGGCATAAGAAGTAGACATAAAGATCAATGGAACAGAATTAGGGATTCTAGAAATAGACCTTTATGTATGTGATCAATTGATTTTAGACAAAGGTGCTTTAGATACTTCAGTGAGTTGAGTTATAAGTTGTAGTACTAAATTGTAGTCAGTTTTTAACAAATGGCATTGGAACAACTATTTATCCATATGAAAAAAAATCTTTATTCTTTCCTTATAACATACACAAATATTACCTTAAAATGGATCATAGACCTATATGTGAAAGCTAAAACTATATAATGTCTAGGGGAAGATCTTTATGACCCTGGGGCAGGCAGAGATTTTTTAGGACCCCAAAAGCACCAGCCATAAAAGAAATCATTGAAATTTTGGAGCTTACCAAAATTTAAAATTTTTCTTCAAAGGATAGTGTGAAGAAAATTAAAAATTAAGACACAGGTTAGGAAAAATATTCACAATACAGATATATGACAAAGGACTTGCATTCAGAATATATAAAGAATTCTTATAACCCATTAGTAAGAAGACAACCCAGTATATAAATGGACAGAAGATTCAAATAGATCTTCACAATGGATAAAGAAGATGTGGTATATATATACAATGGAATATTATGCAGCCATCAAAAGGAATGAGATCTTGCCATTTGCAACGACGTGGATGGAACTGGAGGGTATTATGTTGAGTGAAATAAGTCAAACAGAGAAAGACATGTATCATATGATCTCACTGATATGAGGAATTCTTAATTGCAGGAAACAAACTGAGGGTTGCTGGAGTGCGGGGTGGGGTGGGAGGGATGGGGTGACTGGGTGATAGACACTGGGGAGGGTATGTGCTCTGGTAAGCGCTGTGAATTGTGCAAGACTGTTGAATCTCAGATCTGTACCTCTGAAACAAATAATGCAATATATGTTAAGAAAAAAAAAAAGAAGAAGAAGGTAGCGGGAGGGGAAGAATGAAGCGGGGGAAATCGGAGGGGTAGACGAACCATGAGAGACGATGGACTCTGAAAAACAAACAGGGTTCTAGAGGGGAGGGAGGTGGGAGGATGGGTTAGCCTGGTGGTGGGTATTGAGGAGGGCACATTCTGCATGGAGCACTGGGTGTTATGCACAAACAATGAATCATGGAACACTTCATCTAAAACTAATGATGTAATGTATGGGGATTAACATGGGAATAAAAAAAAAAACAAAAAAACCCCAAATAGATCTTCACAAAAGAAGATATGTAAATGGTTAACAGGCATCTGAAAAGATGTTCAACATCATTAGAAATTAGGGAAGTGCAAATTAAAATCCCAGTGACACACTACATACCCACTAGCATTACTAAATATAAAAAGACTCTCAATACCATATCTCAGCCAAGATACGGAGCAACTGGAACTCTCATACACTGCTTGTAGAAATGGAAAATGGTGTAGTCACTTTGGAAAAGTTTGCCAGCTTCTTAAAATGTTAATCATACGCTAACCACAGGACCACATTACCAGCACTACTCGTAGATACTTACCCAAGATAAATGAAAACACATGCTCACAGAGACTTTATTCATAATGGAGAAAAACTGGAAACAACCCAGATATCTCCTAACAGGTGAATGGATAGTTTCATTGTGGTATATTCATTCAATGGAATATCCCAACAATAAAAAGAAATGAACTGTGGATAAATGTAACAACTTGGGTAAGTCTCAAAAACATGGGGAGCAAAAGAAGTTAAAAGAAGAACATATATTGTATGATTTCATTTATAAAAGATTCTGGAAAAGGGAAAAAAACAACCCAAAGTGATAGACAATCAGTGGATACCAAAGGCTGAGCTGAGAGGGAGATAATTGCACAGAGCCATTAAAGAACTACTGGAGATGGTGGAAATGTTCTAGATCTTGACTGTGGTGTTTGCACTTGGATTTCTACATTTGTTAAGACTCCTCTCATTGTACACTTTAAATAGATGTATTTTATCATATATAAGTTGAGCTGTAATAAAGTTGACTTAAAAAGTAAAAAAAATTACCTAGGAAACTAAAATAGGAATGGTCTCATTGGTCTTTCCCATTAATATGAAGAACTTGAGAACATCTGATTATTTTTTTTATCCAAAATATGCACTAAATTATAGTCAAAGAGCAGAAGAAAAGTTAAAGAAAAAAAGAAAAGTTACTAGGTCTTCATGGGAATCAAATTTCTACTCACTAAAGTTTCTAACTGCAGGCTGTATCTCAATCCAATGGATTTTCCATTCCAAGCCAACTGTGACCTATTACTTTTGTCAAGATTCCCAATAACAGAGACATTAAGGAAGTAATTGATACTTCTAAAATGTTAACCGTAATAGTGTGACCACAAGAGGACTCAATGTGTCTACCAGAGCTGATAGTGTTCCCTGTATAGAAAAGTTTATTCCACCCACCAAATGTTTCAGTCAACCTATATTTCAGGCTCATCACTTAAGCTTTTGTGAAGAAGAACATGGGGTGCTCATTTCTAACTTGAGTCCATTTCGGTAGCTCCTTGCCTTTTGCTCCTGCATTGGGGTAAACTTTGTAACACTCTAGAATCAAATACTTTCTCTTCATATCCTGAACTCTCCAGGCATGTGGTACTTTTTTTGTTGGGGGTGGTGGGCATGAGTGGTGAAGGGAGTAGAATCACAGAATATTAGACTGGGAAGGGCAGGGCTCTGGATCATTTAATCCAGTTTTCTCCTTTTACAGAGGATGGGGCGGAACTAAGGACCAGAGGAGGAAAGGAACTTTCCTAAAGCCTCCTAACTCTTAGGAATGGAAGCCAGCCCCAGCCCCTTCCACCCCTGGCTATCTGGAGAAGGCAGCTAGCTTCCCTCTCTGGCTCAGGTTCCTTTGTAATGGGAGCGAGACATCATTCACCTGTTTTCAAGGGCATTGCTGAAGAACAAGGGGTAAAAGGACCATGAAGTATGCACTGTAAAACATAGACACTTGAAAGTGATCTTCAGTCACCACCTGCATAAATTACTTTCCTAACCCTTTGGGATGAAAATTCCTGTGGCTGCCACATTTCAGAAGAGTTTGAGGTTTTCCTTCTTCCTTGTTCTTTGTTTTTGGGAGGCTATGAACTTGTTTTGGAGGGGAGACTTTTAACTTGAGCCTTGCTGCAGGGGTTTACAGTAATTAAAAAAAAACTATTTTTTTTTAAATGTTTTATTTATTCATGAGAGTCAGAGAGAGAGAGAGAGAGAGGCAGAGGCAGAGGGAGAAGCAGGCTCCCCGCCTAGCAGGGAGCCCGATGCGGGACTCGATCCCAGGACTCTGGGATCATGACCTGAGCCGAAGGCAGATGCTTAACCATCTGAGCCACCCAGGCGCCCCCCAAAAAAACTATTCTAATGAGAGAAACGGGTCATAAATTTGACCTATTTCCCCAGTCATAACTAGAGAGAGCCCACCATCTGAAGGTTTGAAAAGGCAGAGGCTTGATTTATTCTCCCTGTGGCGCCACCCACCTCTGCCCCCAGCTAGATTCACTGCTAATTGCTGTAGTGTTGTTAAAACAAATGGCTGGTCTTTCAGTGCCCCAGAACGATAGGACTATGCCTGATCAGGACTGTAATCAGACCACCCTGTATTTTATGGACTTCATGTCTTGGCAGTCCAGAGGCATGCCAGTGGGGGCAGAGTTTCTGCTTCAGCTCCTAATTAAACTTTGGAAACCTTTTCTTTGTTGCTGGGCCAGTCACCCCCACAATCTGATTGGCTGGAGTTGATTCTATTTGAAATGGGCAAATTTATATTTATTCTGAAAAACAAGCAATAATTCCAAAGAATAAATGTTTATGTGAAAGAGCAAAAGTAACCGTCAAGTGAGCAGATTGTCTGAAAATAGCTTTATCCGAAAAACCTTTGGAGAGTAGGAAAAATGTGTCGTGGCTGCCAGATACAATATTATGCACATTTCAAAAGAGAAAATGACGATATTAATCCCTTACCTTGGGTTACTGCTTTTGGCCTTTGCACAACTCCTCAGCATCTGTGATTTACATCATTCCTTGAACATCCCTGTGCGGGTGGAGGGTGTGTGTGTGTGTGTGTGTGTGTGTGTGTGTGTGTGTGTGTGTGTCTGTACCAGAAATGGTGTAACATGTTGATTAAGATTTGGGACTTTGAAGTCAATATTCAATATTCATTCACCCATTGATTTACTCCTCAGATATTTCTCGAGCACCTTCTGTGTTGAGAACTGTTCTGGGCACTAGGCTTGAACAGACTAAACGAACAAATGAACAATACAGACTAAAAGTCCCTGCCCTCATGGGACGTGGATACTGGGGAGGCCAACATACCCGGACTCATTCGTTATTTCTACGCTAATAGTGTGACCCTGGGCAAGTTACTTGTTCTCATCAAGTGTGTTTCCTCACGTGTAAGATGATAAGAATCCCTACTGCATAACACTTTGTGAGGACTGAGATAATGTTTGTAAAGTGTTTGGCACATAGTGAATGTGCATGGAAGGTAGTAGCCGCCATGTTGGTTGTCCTTGAGACCTATGTTCTGGGGTGTCCACCTGTCGTCGTTGGATCCCTGGTGAGTCCCCTCTTCTGTGGGACCGGACTTGCTCAGGGTTGGCAGGAGAACAGCCAAGCTCGGTCCTTGTCCCAGTCATGTCACAGGTAGGGGTGGCTTTCGGGATTCACAGTCTGATTCTTGCTTTTGCCCTGCTTCCCTTCCATGTAGGCAGCAGCCCCTCAGAATTAGCCCTTGTGCAGAAATTACTACTATTATCCTCCTGTGCTGCTTCCCTGGGTGACAGACTCTAACTTCTCTTCCTTTCTTCTTTTTTTCAGATTGTTTAGTGTAATTCTGGAACAATTAACCAAAGAAACAGAAGGCGGTAACCACTCCAGTGGCAAGTCAGGAGGCTTCGATGTCAAAGCCCTCCGCGCCTTTCGGGTGTTACGACCACTTCGACTAGTGTCAGGAGTGCCCAGTAAGCACGTCTTGTTTCCTAAAGCCAGGAGTTTGTTGACTTGGTTTTTCTTCTGGGTGGGGCTCAGGATTCTGGAGCCGAGCGCTGCCAGGTGAGTTGCGGTGTGCCAGCCAGGGGCTCCGCAGACGACCACGGAGGCCTTCACGGTTCACGACGCTTGCGTGGTCACCTTGGACCCCCGTGATGGCCCCGAGAAAGGGCCGGTAGTGACTGTTGTCTTCCTGAGTTTGTAGGAGACTCTTCTCTTACAGAGACACCGAGCGAGTAGTGACATGAGGCCTTGAAGTCAGGCCTCCTGATTCCAGGCTGGTTTTCCTTCTTGGACACCTCGCAGCCACCACCTCCTCCCACTCCCAGGCCTGCCCCTCTGAGAGTGGTGGCTAATGCAGAGGAGGAGGGTATTGCAGGGCTCCCAGCCTACTGCCTTTCTTCAAAGTGAGCAGCAACAGGGGGCTGGACTCCTGGAACGTCTGCTCAGCTCTCCACTCTTAGGAGTTGTACATGTCCGGCTCTGGGGGAAGAAGCAGATGCTTCCAGGTCCTCCCTGTATGTAGGGTAGTGTAGGACCTGCTTGCAGGTGGTTTGGAGGACCGATTGAGATGAATCAGGGAGAGCCCCCGCAGCACAAGATCTGGAGCAGAGGTGGCCCTCCATGGCAAGAGATGCTGTTTTCCTCCACTAGGCTATGATACCAGTCTGTGCCAGGCCCTAGTTTGCTTTTTGCTCCAGATGTCTGGGCCAGGTTGAGAGCCACCTGAGCTGGGACAGATGCTCTGGCTGTGCTCTGGCCGGCAGCTGTAGGCTGCTTCTGCTCCCCTAAGGAGCATGGAGTGTGCTTCACGGGGATCTGTCCCTGAAGGGACACCCGTGGTGGGGATTTGAAGGTAGAAGTCCTAGCACCTTTCCAAGGGTTGTGGCGGCAGCTGCCTGCTCCAGCTGGAGGAAGGATATGGGACAATAGGGTGTGCCTGTTTTTCATGACTCACAAAGCCATCAAAAGAGCACAGATCATGTTTTTGCCTCTCCAGAAGTTCTTCATGAAATTGTATTAAACCTATTGGCACTCGGGACACACCAAAAATTCCCGGGGAAAAAAAAAAGATTTCCAAATTTAACATTTTAAAATGTAGGAAGTGGTGTTTTATGTGTACTTGTTTTTCCAGATGGTTCATTTATTTTCATTGAAAAAGATCACAAGTCAAAACCACAGAGCTGTCTGGAAGCAATCGAGAAAAATAGAAACACCTTGGAAATGACTGGTTTTGTTATGTGTAACATGATGAAATGAGAAGTTCAATGAGCAAGCATGTTCTTTCAGATTTAGTTGTTATAGCCTCATCCAGTCTCAAAGTTACTACGACAGCCTTTTTTCCCCAAAGAGCAAACGACAGGACAGCCTGTTTGCAGCATATGTTGTAAGGACAAGTGGGTGCTGTAGCTTCATGCATGTAAGTCTGGCCGGTGAAGCTTCCCAGACTCACCGATCATTGTTTTGGCTTCCTTGTTTAACGAGGTTTTCACTAAATGACTAGTCTAGAATTCCCGGGTGTTCTTGAGAACACGTTTTAAACTAGATTTCTTCCTTGTCTCCTTTGTAACAGGATGGAGCTCTACATCACACTCTCCCAGAGGTCAGCAGGGGGAAATGGGGACTTGAGTCTTGTTGAGGACTTTTCAGCCCACATTTGTTAATTGCCCTAGTGGAGAACACCCAAGTCTCTCATCAGCCCCAACTGGGCTTGGGGGAGATGGTGTTTTGGGGGGCTCTGGGTCATGATGTTTTCCATGCTGGTTGTCAACTGGGGCCTGGTGATTTCTTAAGAACCCTGAAATTGTTAAAAATGCCAGGGAAGGTGTGACTGCTTATACTTACCTGGGAGTTGTCTTGTGCCTTCTATAGAGAATTCAGACTGTTCTATAAGACACGATTTTGTGTGTGTTTGTGAATATATATTGATTGGCAGGAAAATATGTATTGTAAAAGAGAGTTCAGACATTTGTGGAGTTATTAACCACCCATACTCAAATGATAAATATTGATCGGAGTCCTGGACCATCAAATGGGAAAGAACCCTACAGACCTTCTGGTCCATGGGCATCATCTTTTAGACAAGGAAGACAAGGGCTGTGGAGGGGCAGCAACTCGTGCAAATTCTCACAGCCAGTGGGTGGCTGAATGGGGACAGATGGACACTCTCCTGGTTCCTGGCCTAGTGTTCTTTCCATTCCACCCCATTGTGTCCCGAACTGGAGTCCCGTGAGCTCTGTTGTATGCGCTGATCATGTACAAAGGAGCCTAATGTCAGGAAAGTCTACACATTCACATTAAGATAAACTTCATTATCTCATAAATTTGGCTGATTGGAAATACAGTAGATACAACGAACAAACATGTTCATGAAGCACACAGCTCCCTACCATAGAATTACCATAGAATTTAGAAGAGCTAACTGCCAGATGATGATTTTGAATGGCCCATCCATGTCTGGGAAAAAACAAACAAACAAACAAAACAAAAACCAACCAAACAAACAAACAAACAAAACCAAAAACCCAAATGATAAAACAAACCCCTGAGTACATTAGAGCAGTTACTTCTTTTCATCTAATGCCTGATAAAAGGTGAAAACCTTAAAAGTCATCCTATTAATCATTTCTTTTCTAAAACCACTTGAACATTTAAATATCTGAAGGTAATACCTAGGATTTGGGTTGTAATGAGGGTCTTGGGAAGACAGGCTCTTCCTGAGTCTGAAATCCTCTTCTCGGTTTTCCCTCCGCATCTCATCCCTCCCCTCTTTTCTGTGTACTTCCAATCACAGTCAACTCTCGTTGCTGTTGCTAATGAATATTCTCTTTGCTTGGTGTGTTGTGACTTCTGTCTTCCTTCTAGCGTCTCAGCTTCTTAGGCTCTTTCATTCTTTGAGTATGTATTGGGAGAGTGAGAAGATACTCTAAAAGAGCAGTGTGAAGGGGGAGAGATGGCGGGGAGGTGTAGGGGAAGAGAGGGAAGAATGGGGAACGCGTGAAGGGCACAGAGCAGCATCTGTGCTCATGGGGTGGGGGAAGAACGCGGGCGCTAAACCCAGGAGTCCGGAAGCCTGGCTGCAGTGTGGGTTCTGGTTTCTTTCTGACCCTCAGTCTGCTGCTTCTGCCCACCTGCTCCTAACCTCAGGGTTGCCTCGCCTACCCTCTTCCCGTGATCTCACTCCCGTCCTGCACTGCAGCTCGGAGTGTTGCTCTGTGCAGAGCTCCCTGGTATCTGTGCCCCATCCTCGTCTCTCAAGTCCACGTCCCAGCTGCACAATGCTTCCCTCTTAATGCTGCGCCCATGATCCTGCTTCCCCCGTGCAAAGCAGCTCTTGCCCCTCTCCTCCCTCCCTCTGGAATCCCATGGGGAGCCTCCTTTCGACAGGCTTGTTGTTGGTTAGGCAAGGGGGTTTTGCCGATGGACTCAAGTCCAGGCCTGTAATCCGAATTTAATACCCAGAGCTACCTTGCTGCAATCTGTTTTTCTTTCCTGATCTTCCCACCGTGTGACCACCAACCAAGACTCACGGGCACCCGGCCCACATTGCCTGGCTCACCTCCGTGCTTCTGGTGCTCTTCCCTCTGGCCAGAGTGGCCCCTCTCCTAGGCCCACCTGTGCAAATCCATCTTCTTCCACCTTTAGGCCCTGGTGAGAGGGGGCTGCTGCCCGGTCCTCTGTCTTATCGCCACTCAGAAGCAGTGTCTTTCATCCATCCCTCTTTAATTTTAAGTGTTCGACTATAGCGTCTGTGTGCTACCCTAGGGTAATTTGTGTTTAATTCTTATGTCTCCTTCTAGAACATACCCTCTTTGAGAGAAGGCACTTTATGTAATACATCTTCATATTTCCCAAAGCACTAAACTTTACGCTTGCCACATGGTAGCTGTTCAAGGAATTTTGTTGAATGGATGAACGAACGCATGAATGAATCACTGACTTTGATATTGGGCAGTAAGTCCTCCCTCTGGGCCTTAGTTTTTCCATCTGTTGAGTGAGGCAGTTGGATTAGATGGTCTTTTAGGGTCCTTTTTAACTTATCTCACATCCAGGTTTAATGCTAATTTAATGTTAAATATCTCTGAGTTTTATTACTGTGTGTCCTATAGGGAGCAGGCATCAAGGCATCAGGAATTTTATGTGTATTTATATATATATATGTGTGTGTGTGTATCTATGTATGTATACACATAATATATATATATATGTATCCTTGAAGTATATGTATATGTATATATCCTTGAAGTGTCTCCCTGGCTCACAAACTTATTTCTATCTCTCCTAGGTTTACAAGTTGTCCTGAACTCCATTATAAAAGCCATGGTTCCCCTCCTTCACATAGCCCTTTTGGTATTATTTGTAATCATAATCTATGCTATTATAGGATTGGAACTTTTTATTGGAAAAATGCACAAAACATGTTTTTTTGCTGACACAGGTGAGTAATGAAAATGGTAGCTAACCTAACTTTTAAAAAAATTAATTTTTCCCAAAATAACTTGTGTGGTTTTGGGAAAATCTAAAACAAAATGGTGCGGGGTGGAAGCCAAATATACCAGTAAAGCCAGTAAGAACCAGCCAGTTCTTAGCGTGAATTGTGTTCACAATAAATGAGGATTTAATCTCCTTTTCTATCCTAATTTCCTATGTATTCCTGGCAAAGAAGATGAGGTACCCCCAATACTAGAACATGAGTAGAATCCCCACCATTGTTCTCTATACACTTAAGAAAGGTCCTATAGGGTCAGGGTGGAGGAGAGAGCCATGGATTCTGAGTACAGAGATGGCATATGCTGTGGAGGAGGGAGTCTTTGAAGTGGACCTTGAGGGTCAAGTGGGAGCCTGACAGCATAGCTGGGAGGCCGGTGTTCCAGGCTCTGGCAAGGGCACCCCGCTTCCGCCGGCTTTGGGCTTCCTGGTGCTCATGTCTGGAGTGGTGAAGCCGGTGTGCTCTGTCTGCAGATATCCTGGCCGAAGAGGACCCAGCGCCGTGTGCGTTCTCAGGGAATGGACGCCAGTGTGCTGCCAATGGCACCGAGTGTAGGAGTGGCTGGGCTGGCCCAAACGGAGGCATCACCAACTTTGATAACTTTGCCTTTGCCATGCTCACCGTGTTTCAGTGCATCACCATGGAGGGCTGGACAGACGTGCTCTACTGGGTAAGCAGCTAGAGGACGGAGTGCGTGGAGTGTTCTTTCTTTGGATAAGAGTGTTGCATTCGCTAGAGCCGTTGAAGAGTTAGCTGAAAAAGAAACCCTGGCAGGCAGTTCTTGGGAAGGGAAGCAGACCCTCTCCTCACTCCGTAAGACTCCTCCTCTTTCTTCCTCAGGGCCCTAGTTTCTATTCCAGAAAGCCACTGTGTAATGTGGGCTGCCCCCACTCCCCCATTCTACGTGGGGACTTGCTGCTTAGTGTGCCCACGAGTCCTTGCTTTAGAGGAAATCCCAAAGTCAGGGCCATTCTGAGTTAAACTCTTAGAGAGCCAGGGGTTATTTTCCAAGCTAAGAGGCTTCTGGACTTCCATGAGCTTGTTTTGTTTTGTTTTAACGTAAATGTAGGTTGCTCTACCAGATCCTAAACAGAAGATAGGGAATATAAATTGGATCACTTTTATGCTTTCCATGAACTTAGTACAACCTTCAGGCCAAAATGGATTTTTCCCTTATTATACTGTTTCCCTTTTGCATCTTCAGCATTCCCATAAATCAGCCCAGCACAAGCCCCTACCTCTCTCTTCTTTTCTGTTTGGAGCTCTAGAAGTCTGGCAGGGAGGGTGGGAAAGGCACATCAAACTTCCAGGGCTGGTGGACCCATCCAACCTGCAATGACAACAGACAGACATTGTAGCCCTTTCTATGGCTAAGGTCTGGTTCTTCTTGTTCCTGACAGAGTCAGAAGGGTTTGCTATAAATGAAGAACAGTAGTATTTTAACAGCTATTTCCCAGAGCTGAGTTTGTTTGTTTGCTTACTTATTTGGTAGAATTTTGAAAAAGCTCACAGAAGTTTAGAAATTAATTTCCATGGCACAGATTGCTGGGAAAAACAGCTGACATGCAGATTTTGAGCCTAAACCCAAGTTCAAATGGGATTAACCAGGTTTCCAATAATGATTTGTTAAAAGGCAATTAGTAATAAAGTACTTCTTGAATGGGCAGTCTTTAGTTAGAAATTGAGAAGTAACTTCTGGCAGTGTCTAAAATTTAGACTCTTTGTAGGGTTCCATATTCCTTTATAACTTCAGAGAACCTGACACACGATGGTTATAAATAGGTTTTTGCTTCCCTTCACCAGTGAACACCATGCTTACAGGATTGTAGAAGTCCTTATATAGTGAATGTTAGGTAAAGAAGATATGTTTTTATTTTCTTCCCCAAAGCATGAGTCTAGTTTGGTAAAAAGTTTTGAGCATCACGGACATGTTGTATCTTGTTTCTCTCTCTTCCCTTCCTTTTTCTTATCATCCTAGGAAAGAGAGAGAGAGAGAGTGTGTGTGTCTGTGTGTCTGTGTGTGTCTGTGTGTGTGTGTGGTAATGCATGTGTGTTATTTATATCCATAAGATAATGCCTTTCATGAAGAGGAAGAAGGAGGGAAATTATATTGGATGAGCCAAGATCATGGTCATAGCAAGGGGACCTTCAAATTAGATAAAGGGTTCATTGTCAGTATTATCTTCAAAAGTTGCAAATCCTAGTTAGATTAGTTGAGGTCTCACTCTCACTCTTGCCTTGAAGTTTCTGATACATAGAAAAGATTCATCCAAATAGCCCAAACTTTGATCCCTGCCCCCTCCACCAAACAGGACAGAAACATTTTGATTTAAAAAAAAATGTGTGACTCCTCTCAGCTCTGCTGTTCGTTCTGTTGTCAGAGTGAGTTGTCCACTGCTGATCCAACATGCCTTGACTAATACACAATTTTATACTTTGTTATATTTTTGCACATGGATTCTCTCATGACAATTTTCCTGTTGTCAAGCAAGTGAGAACTGGGAGTATGTGATTAAAGGAGAGAAAACTCCATGCACCCAGAAACAAAAGTTCCCATTGCTTTCCTCAGAACCTTTAAGTATCACCTAGGATTGTATAATTATTATCTCTATTGTTAATACAACAATCACAGAGTTAATAATTTGACAATATAATAATTATATTCTCTGTGAATTACAGGGCATCTTCATTCTAATGGAGGAACTCAAGTAACTTATCAACATTATCTCAGTCTATATCCCTTTCTTAGAAGGTCTGGGATTTTGAAGGTCATGGGCTGTGCAAAGGCAGGTGGTGGGCTGGGTTTGGCCCACAGGTCATAGTTTGGTGACCCCTGCCCTAGCCTGGAACTCAGCACTCTTTCCTTGGCATTCTCTACTGTAGGAGATTTGTGAATCATTCTAGAACACTAGAGGGCAGCTAAGTAATCTCCCATACAGTTCACTAAGATCTTAATCCTCTGAAACACATCAGGTTGTTTTTAATTATTTATTGATTACATTTATTAACTCATCAGAGATAGCCAAGAGCCAAGACACCAAACCTTCTTAATATTTAATGGGCTGTGGTCAGGTGGAAGATACACAGCTGTGCCTGGTACAGAGCAGGTGCTCGACAAATACTTGTTACTCTTACTCCTCCTGGTATAATCCCATTGCCTCAGCATAGAAGGGCCATGTTTAAATATCATTTTTTTTGTGCACAACTAGGGTGTAAAGGGCACATCTTGAGAGATGACCAAGGAGATTAGATTGTAGATATTGATTGAGAGCAAGTTTCTCAATCCTTTAGGCATTTGTATATGGTGGGCAAAGTCTTCACCAGGGATTACTTCACATCTTGTCAAGCTTCTATTCAGTCAGTGTTCTCAAGCTCATTGATGCCTGATTCTCAAGAATTTCTGGCAAAGGGCTGGCTGGGTCTTGAGAAAAGTGCAGGTGGGTCTGATATGCAGGAAGACATACTTAGAACCATTCGGATGTGTGGGAGTGGGATTAACAATTTCTGGTGGGGGAAAAAGTCCTTCTAGAGCTCTTTTATAAAGTGAGTTCCATAAGCATAATTACACTGCCATCTGACCCACACATATTTGTTGTCTACGGAGGCAGCAGGGTGTAGGGCAAGGGAAGAGCATGAAGGCTGGATAGGGCTGGGTGCCTGACCTTCAGTAGGTCACCACAACCTTCTGGGCTTTAGTTTTCTTGTCTACAAGATGCACAGTTAGACTACATGATCCAATTCTTCTTCAATTCAGAGGAAATCTTTTTAAGGGTAGGAAATTAAAATAGTGTTGGTATCAGGAGAGAACTATTCATATATAAAACATTTATGACCTCTTGCCTTAACGCCAAGCTCTTTCCTCATTGAACACACCTGTGGAGGTGCGGGCTGCCAGACTCCAGTGGGAAGTTCTCATGGTCAAATTGACCATCTATTTCATTCAAGACACCTGGGAAATTCCTCTCATTGGCTGAGGGCATGCCTTTCTGTGCCTTTCTCTTATTCCTGGCATGGGGAGCCACAACCAGTAAACCACGAGTGTTTTCACCAGTTAGAAAAAAAAAAAAAAGCCTTAGGTTGGTCTTTAATTGGAGATAAGAATGTGCATCTCAGCCTTTGAAATGAGAGGAAAAACATAAACTAAATAGAATATTATTTTCTAGGTACCAGGTGACCCCACATGATGACTTTTGATATGAATCTTTTGAGAATGAATCTAAATTGAAATCCTTCAGCTCATGCTGATTTTTTCCTTGTTGATAAAGACCACATGCAGACAAAATCCCCAGCAGAGTCTTTATTGTCATTTGGGTATTTTGGGGAATACCTTGCCAGTTCTGACTTGTGTATACGGTAAGGTCTGAGAAATACTAGCCTCTGAGAAGAGACTTGGGTTGAGATTTAGTTTTGGAGAAAGACTGGCCCTGAGAGCTGAAGTTTTGTTTCTCATCTCCCACCTTCTGGGGAGTTAGAGACCGTCTTCTGTGGCCTTCCCTCCAGCCCCCAGCTATCATTCCAGTTGGTATTTCTGCTCCATGTAAATGTGAATCTGTCCAACACCTAATCCTAAGAAGTTAAAAGCTGCTTTAATTAAAAATAAAGTGCCCTCCCAAGTGGAGCAGACTGCTGTTCCTAGAACATTCCCTGGAAGAGCAGACTGAGATCTGAATGAGGATTGGTAAAGCAGTTGGCCTGGCCACTGACCAGCCCTGTTTCACCTCATCCTGGTCAGCTCACTGCTGGAGCCAGCTCTCCCAGGGCGGGCCATCTAGCGCCAGGGCTGTACAAGGGTGAGTTCTCCTGATGGGAGTCCCGGACTTGGCCCATCCTTCCCTCACCCCATGAGCACGCTCTCCCCTGTCTCCTGCCCTGCTCCCACACAGAGGAGACAGGCCCAGAGAGGTCTCCATGGAAGGTCCGGACTCCAGGCTGGGCTCTGGCCACTACGCCGGGCAGCCTGGTTCTTCTCCTCTATACACGGGTTTTTAAATAAGGTTGGTGGTGTCGTTGCTTTGGAAGAATTACCCTCTGCCTTCCTTCTGAAATTAGTTTATCCAGCTTAATTAGGTCAACAATTGCAACCATGGCCCTGGTTCATTCATTACTCTAATTGCCAATGTGAGATGTGCAGACTGATAGTTCTATTAAGCACATCAATTTTCATGTGGCCAAACAGGTGTTTCATAAGGGATTTAATGCCCTCTCCCTAGACTTCAGCAACAGATGTTAAGTCTTTTTTTTTTTTAATGTTCTCTTTTCCTGTTTGGCTTCTGCATGAGGCAAACATAGTAAAATGCATGCACTTCATTCTGCAAAGCTAAAATCAGGAGCCAGATAATATGGAAGAAATCACATGCTTCAAGGCCGAAGGGGCTTGCACCCTCGAGGCAAGAACCATGACTCTCACAGACCACATTTAGTTCTGTTGGCCAAGATTCTGGGTGTTCAGCAAAGTCAGGCCTGCAGTCATTTATTTTGTCCCTGGACTGGTCTTTAATACCTCCTTCCTGGGAGACGTGTTTGCCTAATTTAACACGGATCTGTGCTGCTGGGAAGTTCCATCTTTAGCCATGAACCTCAAAGCACCTGTTTGCTCCTGCATGAGACCTACTCATGACCAAACCTCCCCTGTGAGGGTCTGCCATGGAGGCCACGTCTAACTGTGCTGCTTGAGATTGTTCCAGAAGTAGTGGGCACAGGGTTTCTCTGGACCAGCCCTCTTTCACCTCGTCCCAGTCAGCTCACAGCTAGAGCCAGCTCTCCCAGGGTGGGTCATCTAGGTCAAGGTAGGTGTGGGGGATAAGTGCTTCTTTCTTTTTCCTGGGTCCTTCCTTGATGCAGTTGGCAAAAATCTCATTCCCCAAAGCACCATTGAATGCATGTCAGCTAGCGGACTTCTGAGCACTTTCCTCTTTGTGTTCATTGAGCTGTACTTGCACTCACTGATGGCAGATAATCTAGATTTTAGGTGGGTTAGGTTTCTTTGGATAGGGTGGCTTCCAATAGAAATTTATTATTTTAGGGTTTTTTTTTTAACGAAAAGAATTTATAGAGTCAGATGTTGCAAGTTTGTCTCTCTAAGTAAGACTTTTCCACCATCACAAATCTTAAAAGCAGAAAGTTCTAACAACTTGGGTAGAGTAGGAAATACTTTCCAGCTAAGCACTAGTTTAGAATAGATCTACCAAGATCTATTCTGAAAGTCCATGATCCAAGACTGTTTCAGTGAGAAAGAGCCAGATCCCAGCTGATTTCCCTGCCTGTGTCAAAGTCTGCTATTATTTGCCCCCAAAGCTTTGATGACTCTTCATGGGCATGTGTGTGGGCGTGTGTGTGTGTGTGTGTGTGTGTGTGTTGGGAATATATAGTGAATGTTTCTTGGCTACTGTTGTCTCTGATTCAAATCTAAGTAAATGTTTAATGTATAGAATGCTGTCTCTAATGACCCTCTCTCTTTATTAGATGCTCTTATTAACCCACTCCTATGAGACCATCTTATTTCTTGCAGATGAATGATGCTATGGGATTTGAATTGCCCTGGGTGTATTTTGTCAGTCTCGTCATCTTTGGGTCATTTTTCGTACTAAATCTTGTACTTGGTGTATTGAGCGGGTAAGCTACACCTCTTTCATCTTGAAAGCAGAGTCCTGAGGACAGTTGCCAAGACCACACAGGTTTTGCTAGATGGGGGCGGCCGGGTGGGTGCCAAACACGTTCTATGTCCTCCGAGATGCTTTTTCTCCTGCTGAGGCTTCCCAAATGAAGATGCTTCCTGGAACCTCACCAGCCTTTATGAAAGAAAGCTATGGAACGGTTATTGACCAGAAATTAATCAGCATTGTTGCTTGGGATTTAAATAGATTCCATTGCTTGCCCTTTTGTCTGTCCTAAAATGAGATACATTTATAATTGCTTGATTGGTCTGGATCCAAATATGCAGATTAATTGGTATAAAACAGTAGCTAAATGAGCTGGTCCTGGCCGACTTTTGGTAGGCCAGGTTTGTAGATTTCAGCAGCAGAACTTGTCCGTACCCGAAGACAAAAATGAAAGGTCCTAGGTGGGGGTCCCTGTCCTCAGAGCTGTAGTCTTCACTCAAAGCCCTGAGTGGTCTAGCAGCTGCTCCTGGGGGCTCCGCTCTTTAGTAAATGGATAACTGATAACTGATCTCCTTACATTTTACAGGTAAATGATGCGATAGGATGGGAATGGCCATGGGTGTATTTTGTTAGTCTGATCATCCTTGGCTCATTTTTCGTCCTTAACCTGGTTCTTGGTGTCCTTAGTGGGTAAGCAGTCAGATCCGTGTTGCACATTCTGCTGCTGCCCCGTGTGGGGTGGCTCTGCGTGTCCCCCAGCTGCTCCCTGCGGCTTCTCTGCATGCGTGTGGACTCTGACGTCCCTTCTGTGTGTTGCTTTTGGATTGAACTGTGATTCTCTCTGCCTGTATCTTCTCTGTGAGATTCTGTGTTTCTGACGCTTGCCACACATTATTAATCTCATGAAAGCGTGTCCCTGAAGCAGGTGCATTAGTGTGCCCATGTGCAGAAGTGGATTGCAAGTGAGTGGAAGGAGTCCCAGCCTTGGTGTCCCCAAGGAAAGGGCCTTATGTCTTTTGTGGCTTTGTTCCCGTTAGTATATAACCTGGCCTTTTTGAGTTACCCACAGTGTATCATGAATATTTCCTGGGCATTTCAGATTTTATCGAGAAGGAGGAATAAGCCTAGATTAGCACATAAGTACTGAACAATTTCAAGATCTTACATCCTTCAAGTCGTTTATTTGCTTGGTTTTCTGCTACTGTCACTGTGAGAATTCTCTCTCTAACTCACAATTAGTATTCACTTGTGGAATCTCTAATGCAGAGCAATGAGCAGCTTTTGCATATACACTTCCTAGGGCCTTCGGGTCCTGCTCACTCAGTCACCATTTTTGAAATGTCACTTGGCTGCCTCCACCCTTGGATGACCCTCCATAGAGAGGGTTCTCCGTAGAGAGTGGAGGCTGGCTCAGGAAGGGGTTCCTGGTGTTTCTGGGCTCTGCCCTGCCTGTACTCAGGGATGCCGTCCCAAGCCCCTGGGGCGGCTCTGTGTCCTCACCACCCACAGACACCCAGAAAGAGGAGCACCCTGAGAAGGAAGAAGGGGCTGTCTGGGCTCTCCCAGAAGCTGCCCCAGAACTTAAACACTGCTGGAGGGCAGAGGCCCCACGTGGGAGTCAGTGGGGGGGCCCATTCCTCAGGAAGTACTGGTGGGACCCTTGATTCCACGTGAGCGAATCTTCACCTGCTTTATCTTCCTCTTTCCAAGTTTGTGTCTCAGGGTGGGGGGGGCGGGGATGATGCCTTCACGGAATGCTGAGTCAGCAAGGAGCCCTGGATCGCATTTGTCCAAACACCGCCTTTTCCAGAGCAGAGAGCACAGCTCCTTGTCCACCCTCTAAACTGCCCTGCCTCTTCTCAGGGGATAATGTATTTGGGGTTCTCCTTGATAGAGTGTGGTCAGTTTTACTCCATGGACGCACAGCTGTCTCGGGAAGCCCCTTTCTAGAGATGGCCCTGGAGCCTGCGCCCCCAGTGAGGGCAGTGGGGCCGGGATGAGGGTGTGACAGCATCCCCCACTCCCACCAAAGCTTCCTTCTACAGAGGACTGGCTCCGCAAACCCCTGTGTGAAAGTCGTAACCCTCGAAGAGTGCTTTCATCCTGATGAGTCTCTGCGGCCGTAGGTTAGTGTTGGGCTGGTAAGGGTGGAATTTATCCCTGGAGAAACAGCCTAATGTCAGTTTTGCCTCAGGAATGGCCCACACGAGGTTAATGGCAATTCTGTCATGCATTCCTTGGCGCCCCATGTCTCCTAAGTTCAACCAAACTGACTGAGGCCATGGAAACTGCTAATTTTAACAGTGCCAGTGACATGCCTTATCTCCAAGCTTCCCAGAGCAGGAGGCATCGCCCCGGCATGAGGATGAAGCAGCTCGAGACAGGGGAAAAGGAAACGGTGGGAGGCAGGGCTCCTTATCAGAATGGTGGTGGGCATTAAATGTTGACCCCTGTGGAGGGTGACAACATGACACCCTCATGGGACAGCCAGTTTACTGGGATATATTTTAGGGAAAATAACAAGTAATGTTAAAACAACTTGGTATCAGAACAAAACTAGATCCCTTCTGAGGGAGACTGTGATGGCGTGCCCGGCTCCGGGCCAGAGACCCGAGGTGCCGGTGTGCCGAAGACACAGAGGCGCTGGGCTCAGGCTTTCAGTGCCTGGTGGGGAGACTGTCATGAAGCAGCGCAGGATGGCAGAGCTGGAACAGAGGTGTAGCCCAAAGGGCTGAGAAGGCTGCATGTCTGTGAGCTGGATCTTGAAAGGCGATACGGGATCTACAGGGGAAAACCGATGAGGAGCTTGTTCCCACCTCCCTGGACAATTCCCTGCTCCTCTGCCCAGCTTCTCCCCCTTGACTGGCCCCCAAACCAACAACAACAACAAAAAAATCAAAAAGAGTCATTCGTATGCATTTTCTTGTTAAATTTTTAAAAATTTGCTTTCGTCTTAGAGTCTTCACAATTTTTTTAGGGAACACTGAAAGGAGGTAGATGTTAAAAGGGGGATAATTTGTGTTGCATGGCCCCTTGGGGACCATCAGACCAACACACAATCCTTAAAGCGCTGAATTAAAAGCCTCCCATTTTAAGAAACTTTAGACCTTGCTATCGCCTTCTGATGGAGAGCCGTTACATGATGCTTGTGTGTCTTTAAGTCTGTTAACCCCTTGGAAATACTTGTTTCTGCTCCTCAGCTTTTTTTTCTTTTTTTGTGTGTGTGGCCATGCCATCCTATTGTATTCGTGAGCTGGTTTTAATCTGCACACTTGATTTGGTGTTGATACATGTTTAAAGCATTCTAAGACTGATGCTTTGGAAAAATCTTTGGTTTTACAACAGATGCTTTTCTCAAGGTGAGTATGAAGTTTATGAAGTGTACACCTGTGTAACCAAGCATGAACACAGATGAAGACTTTTATCTCTGACGGTAGCGTTCTCTGGGGAGGGGGAGCTGAGAAGGTCTGTAGCTTGTGCTGCAATTTCACATTGTCATTGAGGAGATGGTCCCATTATGACCAGGGATTGGAAAGAATGTCTCATTCACGTCTATAAATGAGACAGATACGTCTCTTCTCATGCTGGGGTTTTCGGGGTTTGTTTGTTTGTTTGTTTGTATGTTTTAGAAGCTTGGTGATTTTTTCACTTTTAAAATTACTCATTAAACTCCTTGTCCCTTTTGAGGTTTTTGCCAGTAAATAGACCGAATAAGAGAACTCGCTGGTATCTCAGTGCTTGGTTTCTTTAGAACCACTGCCAGATATCCTGGGGGGAAAATGGTGGTCCTGGGCAGTGGGCTCACTTCTTCACCTGCAGGACCCACCTGACACCAGGCATACCTGTGATTAGGCCCCCAGGGTGTGATTCAGACCCCCCAAGAAGAGACTGGTAGATGCAAAGGCCTGGGCTCTGGTCCTGCCAGTGTCACCCACCAACTCTGGGGCTTCATTTTGTAGCCCTGAGCTTCGGTCTCCTGGTCCCTCAAGGAGGGATGGTCCCATTGTGCAGCCTTCCCCATTGAGTGGCTGGCTTTTTATCAGCTAATGAATGTAGAAGTAAAGGAGTAAAGGATTTTACTCAGCGAATGCTGCTTCATCCTAAATCCATGGACCTCCTCCCTGTCCCCTCTCTGGGTGAAGGGACAGACACAAGGGTTCTTTGCAAATTAAAGCGTACCATTTTCTGGATTTCCCAGGAAGTGACTAAAGGAAATGAGCTTTGTATACACATGAATACTGTACCCTGTGCCTCCCATGAGGAGGCTGTGGAGGTTCTTTGTCAGCCACAAAGTATCTTGCAACTTAAATCGTCGTGACTCAGGTTCTCTCTGACAGTGATTTTCTGGCACAACGTAGGGGAAAGGCATTTCTGCAGCATTGTGGTTAATCACGCCAGCTTTTTAGAGTTGGATAGCTGAGATGTGATTGTTTGAGCCTCACTTTCCTCGTCTGTGCCATGGAGCTGATAGTACCAACCGTGTGAGTTGTGTGAGGATTCAGTGAGCTAGAGCATAGAGAGCCCGCTCTTCGTCACTGTGGTGGCTTGAGTGAGAGAAGATAAAACATGATTTGATGCAAGAAAAAATCTAATCAACTCAGTCCTTTTAAACTAATAATAACTGGCCAAGATTGGCCTGCGTTAGTGGAAAGTCAAAGTTATAGAATATTTTTAAATGTTTTATTGCATACACACGTGCATATATAATGACATAAGCCGATGATTACTGAAGGATATTATTACATAAGCCACCTCCTGGACCTGCTTTAAAGAATAGATTAAAATCATTTATAACTCGCCTATGAATTCAAAGCTTCGGTTTTGCCAACATCTTAGGGAAAATATTTGAAACACTTTCTTAAGCAGGCTTTGTATGTTAGAAGATGAGTGTTTCTTTGTAAAGCAGATTTTATGACCTAAGACTGAATGTAAACCCAGCCCATGTCTCTAAGTTCAAAGTCCTTCATCTCTAAATTGTGTTCTTTGTGTTCCAATAAGTTCCAGTTTACCAGA